TGCCATCTACAAGTTTCCTAAAACTATTAGGAARATGTCCCCCAGGTGAGGAGAGCCTTGCTGAGCAGCTCCCACCCAGAGATGCTGGCATGCCTGTCACCACAGATCCCTGGGCACCTGCCTCCCACAGTGAGGGGCACTGGAGCTGTCCGCTAGCTGGCAGCACGCCACCTGTGTCCTTGACAGAACACGTGCCTGGGTCTCCCACCAGCGCTCTGCCAGTGTCCCCAGGGAAGTGAGGCAGTGCAGCCAACACACCTGTAGGCCAACAGCTCTGGAGGACGCCTGGCGGAGTGCTGCCCCTCTGCCCTCAGCCAGCCACTCGCAGACCCCAGGCTGGGACCTCGGGAGGACCTGGGGAGGGCAGTGCTTCACGCCTGGCCCTGGCCTCGCTGGTCTCTCCCAGGAAGCCCCTCCAACCACCTTTCCTGCACTGCTGTGGTGAGCGCCAAGCCAGCCCACTCTGCAGCTCTCCAGAGCCACCCCAGATGCAGCCCAGAGCCAGTATGGCCTGTGTTCCTCCTGCCTCACCAGGGGCAAGCGCAAACTCACCAGGAGCCAAGAGCAGAGCATCCAGGAGAAACAAGCATTCCCAAAATAATAAAACCAAACACACAGGACAGAACTGGAATCAAGGAGATCATGCTGCTCCCAATGCCCACTGTGAGCCAGGCCACCCAGACACACTCCTCATACCTGTGGGACAAGCCCTGTGTGACCAGCGCGATGACCTAAGGTCTCCGACCGCCCATAGCACACAGCTCAGCCTCCGACCCAATGCAGGGAAGGCCCACAGCCAACCCACTTCCTTCCTGCTGCCTGTGGACCCCCAGGACCCTGCCCACGGACACGTCCAGCTACGCTGAACTGAGGTGAGCGAGAGGTGTGCCAGACATTCACGGAGCTACAAGGTGTGCCAGAAAGCACGGACTTACCTTGAATTCTGTGACCGACTTGTACTCGTTGGCCACGATCTTGTCCTTCATCGTGCCGAAGTCCATTGGGTGTTTTATTATCATCGAATATCCAGGAGCGATTGCATCCGTGACAGGAAAAGCAAAAAACCCATGAGGGTCTTTTCTGAAAGCAAAGACACCTTTAAAGAGGACAAACTTTAAACCTAGATTTCTAATCCACACAAAGATCCTCGTGATCAGAAAACTTACAACTGACCAGGTTGAWCTTTGCTTCCCAAAGGTAGAGCCCACCCTCCGCCTTCAGGCTGTGACAGCCRCTGGAGCAGGACACACTCCTGCCTCAGTTCCCACCTCCAGGCGGCCAGCACCAGCCGTGCCTCTGGCCCAAGCCCCAGCCACCTCCGGGCTGCACTCTGGCCCCAGCCCTGCCCTCATCTTGCAGATCTTCCCACCCTGGCTGGACTGCGAGCCCCCTGGGAAGGCACACGACAGGGCAGGGGACGCTGTGGACGGAAGACAGAGCTCACCTCTGCAGCTGGCGGAGGAAGTGCTCCAGGAGCTGCTGGATGGGCGTGCTCTCGGTCTCCGCTGCCCATCAGAAAGAAAGCAGAGACGAGCCACGTGAGGCTGGGCCCCTCATCTCCCAGCACGTCAAGTCCCAGCAAGAATGTGCACACAGACCACTCAGACTCCGCGGCTCCTGTCGGCTAGCTGGGTGGGAGGGGTGCCCACAGCACCCGTCTCAGACCCCTACCTCAGCAGCACAGACCTGCCACTCAGGCTGTTCCCAGCTCAGACTCAACTGGGCCTGGCGCATCCTGGGCAAGGGCCTGAAGCATGGGCCTGGACATGCCATACAAAGTTCTCCTGAGGACAACAGTGGTACCTACGGCTCTGGTTGTGACGCTCTTGAGCGAGCAGGGTGCACCACGTAGCACCCATCACTAACCCCGGCGGCACCCTGGGGCTGCGCTAGCTGCAGGCCCTCCCACAGGCAGTGATATCTCTCAGGCCTGCTGCTTCATGCCTACAGTCCCCCAACCTGGAGGAGGCCAAGGAAAAAGACCCCGAGACAGCCACACAGGGGAGTGACAAGCTCTGCAGAACTGGCCTCTGGGCAGCCATATCACATGGCTCCTAATGGTCTGAAAAACCCAACAGTAGCCTCCTTGTCATGTCCCTAATGTCCCACCCAGCTGCCTCAGTTTCCCAGCTGTCTGGGAAACACAGGATGCCAACTTCTGTAGGACATCTGGAGATGCAGGTCCAAAGGAAAGACCATGAGCTGGGAACTCCAGCCAGACACCAGCCCTGGCACACAGCCCAGGGCAGGAGCTAACTGAAGACCACCCCAACCTCCTTCACTTCAGCTGCAGCCATCTGAAGGGAGTCCAGACCCACCTAGGTACTTTCTCCACTTCCACTGACCTGCCCATGTCTAGAGTRAGATCAACTTGGGGTCACTCAGCTGACACTGCTCCATCTGGAGCAACAAGGCAGATAAAAGCAAACTTTTAGACTCAAAATTGGCCAGATATTTCTGTGAAGGCCAGATAAAACAATCTAGTAGTGAGGTCATACACCTCAGGTCTCTGAGGAACCTGCCTTTTTCTTTTTGTGAGTGTTTAAAAGTGAATAACTCATGCTTAGCTTGTGGGTTAAAGGGTTTTTAAAGGCCACAAGCAGTAAGTGGCCAACTGATCTGGATGAGGGTGGGAACCCCGGGTCCAGGGCACGCTGGCATGGGCCCAGGAGAGCACCAGCCTCTCCCAAGAGGCTCCCTGAACAAGAGCCACCCGTATCTTGCCTGGCTGTGTCCGGCAAGCTCGCACCGGCCGATCTGGGGGTGGCTCCACCTCCACCTTCTTTCCAGGGTCGAAGTCATCTGCCTCTCCCTCTGTGTCACAGTGCTCCTTCTCCCTCTTCCGCTTCTTCTCCTCCTGTGAGGCAGGCAGAGTGACAGCTGCACTGCGTCTCGCCCCGCCTAAGCAGGAGACGCATGCCTCTGCCTGTCCAGGGGACACCCCTCCCGAGACCCTGCTACAGAGCAGCCAAGGACCAGCCCCAGGTGCCCACAGCAAGCCACTGGCCTGTGGTCTGCAGCTCCTGCAGCCCCGCAGCAGTCCCAGCCATGACCCCACCTTCCGCTTTCTCCTCTCCTCGTCATCTGGATGCTTCTCCTTCTCTGACTTCTTCTTCTTTTTCTTCTTCTTCTCTCTGTGTCTCTCCCGCTCATGATCTGACCGGTCCTCGTAGTAGCTGGAGTCATGGCCTGAGCCCGAGAGCTCGGTCACCTCGCTCCCRCCCACCTTGAGCACCAGCTTCAGAGGCTTCTCCAGTGGAGCATCTGCATAATCTGCACACAGGCCAGGGCCGCTGAGTACTGGCACGTGCAGAACCCACAGCCCCAGAGGACCCACAGCCCCAGAGGTCGGCGGCCCCAGGGTAAGGCCAAGGAGCTGCCAGAACCCTGGGCAAAGGCAGCTTGGCAGTGCTCCTCCCTCCACTGGAAGCCCATTACCATGCAGGGAAGGAACAAGGCCAGGTTCCCTTACCAGCAGCCCCTCCCCTTGCTGCAGCTGTAGGTCACACCCTCACCAGTCAGAGGAGCTGCTGCTGGCAAAGGGAGGGGAAGGCAGGTAGGGAAAGGGCAGGAGAGGAGATCCCCAGGCAAGGCAGCAAGGGTGCTCTAGGGCAGGTGACCCGGGACCAGCCAATTTCGGGGGACACCAACCTGGATCCCCCATCCTTAGTCTAGGTTCTTCTCCCATGCCCTCTCCCCAGAGCCTGGGAACCCACTTAGGCCTCTCTGCCCAAGCCTGCCACCTAGCCCAGGACCTTAGGACCCTTCTCCACCCACTCCTGAACCACCCCCCCCACCTGCCCTGCCCAATCCTGCGACCCCTGCCCAGGTCCCCATTACACCCTCCCGGCCCAAGACCCCGAACCCTCCCTGCCCAGGCCCCCAGAGCCCAGCACCCTCCCCACCCACCCTGGACCCCAGCAACTCCCTGTCCAGGCCCCCAGAGCCCCGACACCCTCCCTACCCAGACCCCTCCCCCCAGGCCCCCAGGCCCCTCCCTGCCC